AGAGAGAGACAGACACATACACACACAGACCGGTTTGCCTCTAGTATGCTATATATCTCAGTCACGCCTCCAAGGTAGGTCATCATGCTGAGACCGGATTGACAGGCTAAACTCCATCTATATCTTCCTATAAGTGCTCTGTTGGCCCCCAAAATCTAACTATCACTGGAGATAGTTAGCCTTGGTAAAGTAGAAGGGCAGCAGGAGAGGAAGGCCCTCACCAGATGGATTGACACGGTGGCTTCACCAGTGGGCTCGTACATGAGAACAATTGTGCGGGCGGCACAGGACCAGGCAGTGTTTCATTCTGCTGAGTATGGGGCCGCTATGAGTCGGAACCGATTCGATGACACCTCCCAACAAGGTGAACCTTTACACAGCAAGCTAGTTTCGTGTCCAACAACCCCTTCACACAGTGTTCCATGACACTGGTTGCTTCGGCATGCTCCCCCTTTCCACGCTCCCTTCTCCAGGTCCGTCCCTCTTCCCCCTATCTTCTCATCTTCGCTTAGTGATTGTTCTGAGGACCATACTCCTTATAGCTTTTAGTGTTTATTTTATAGGCTAGTCTGTTAATTGACTGAACGGTGATCTCAGGAGTAGCTTCAGTTCCAGGTTACAAGAGTGTGGTCGGGTGATAGGCTTGAGGGCTCCTCCAGTCTCTACTTGCCCAATAAGTCTGGTCTTTTTCATGAATTTGAGCTTTGTTCTGTATCTCCCTCCCCCCCGCCCCCCAACTTCTAACCAATATCTTCTGTTGTGTCCATGGTCAGAGCAGCTGGTGGGGGACCCTGGCACCACCCAGTTCAGGTCTGGATGATGCTGTAGCTCATGCGGGCTATAGTCTCGTGGACTGATTGTTTCCTTGTCATTGGTTGAGACATTGGTCATTTCTTTGCTCCTGAGGGTGAGAGACCAATTTTTGTATCTCACATGGCTTCTCACAAGCTTTTAAGACTCCAAATACTCGCCGAACCAGAATATTATCTTTATGAACTGCGTTGCGCCAATCGACCTCAGTGTTTCCAGAGGCTGTGGTTCTTGGCCTCCTAGCCCAGTAACTCAGTCCCATGAAAGGTATGGATATGTCTGAGTTTCCATAACTGTGTTTCTCATGCACTCTGACATAGGTGTAGTTGGTGGCATTTGTTTATATGCATTTGTATGTGATAAATAGATGTATGTATATACCTGTATGCATATGTACTTCCATGTGCCCTGCCATATGTACATTACATATGTATCTTCCAATGTCACCACTCATAGATTTTTAGTTCTGACCGCTGTGTGTACAGAATTATGCTGTATCTTTTCCATAGTAGTTCTTTATTCTCAAGTACCTCTTGTTGTCTTCATTTACCTTAGTCTCTTTCCACTGATTCTCCCATACGGTTTTGCCTTTCCTTTCATGAGGATTCACGTGTGTCTACTGTCTAGTGAGTGCTTCTCTTTCCCTTCCCTTCCCATCCCTGATAACTGTTAGATGATATTTTCTGTAATGACTTTATAACAGTAGTCTCATACACTATTTGCCTTTTTGTGATTGACTTATTTCACTTAGTATAATGTCCTTCAAAGTCATCCATGTTTAAGGTGTATTCATGGGCTCCTTATTCCTCATCTAGGCATAGTGTTCCATTGTATCTGTGTAGCACATTTTTTTAGCTAGTCATCCATTGATAGACACTGAGTGCTTTTTTAAATCTTTCTGCTGTTGTAAAAAAAATTCCGTATGAACATGGGTGTGCCTATGTCTATTCTTGGAACTGTTTTATCTTTCTAGGACATATATCTAGAAGTCTGGCAGAGTGGGTTCCTTGAGTTGCTAACACGTGGTCAGCAATTCAAAACCATCAGCTGCTCAGAAGTAGGAAAACGAGACTTTCTACTTCCATAAAACTTACAGTCTAGGAAATATATCTACCCCTATATTAAATGAACTTGCTGGATTATATATAGTATCTCTATTTCTAGTTTTTTTGGGAAGAACCATATCATTTCCCATGGTGTTTGTTGTGATAGCTTTAAAGTGTTATCTCTGGACTGAAC